AAGTACTCTTTGGGGGTGCTGATTGAACGTGATGAGAGTGGCATCTTGATTCATCAGGAGGTACATTCTCAACATGCTTGAGTCTTTTGGGCTTTCTGATGTTAACCCCGTGCGTACCCCTCTCCCCAGAGGCTTCAACGTGTATGCACATGCTGAGGAGCCCTTGCGGAGAGATGAGCTGGTCCGGCTCTATCAAAGCATTGTGGGGTCTCTCATGTATGCAAGCACGACCACACAGCCGCAGATTGCTTATGCAGTGTCACAGCTATCCAAGGTGGTGTCTTGTCCTAATGCCTTTCACCTACAGGCTGCTAAGAGAGTGCTAAGGTACTTGAAAGGTTGTGTCAAGTCAGGTATCTTCTACCCCACACACAGCAAGCCTCAGGTCGAGTTGGTGGGCTTTAGTGATGCTGATTATGCTGGAGATTCAGCTGATTGCAAGAGTCATACCAGCAATGTATATTGCCTCAATGGTGCAGCCATCTCTTGGCAGAGCAAGAGGCAGCCGGTGGTTGCATTGTCCACCACTGAGAGTGAGTACATCAGTCTATGTCAGTACATTCAGGAGGGTGTGTGGCTGAAGCGTTTGTTTGGGGAGTTTGGGCATGAGTTTGCTGGTGGTGTGCCTGTGTTTGTGGACAACCAGTCTGCCATTGCCCTTGCACAGAATGCATGTTTGCATGGCCGCACCAAGCACATGCAGGTTCGGTGGCATTTCATCATGGAGATGGTGGCGTGCGGCGAGGTGATCCTTCGGTGGTGCCCCACCAACCGTCAAGCAGCGGATATACTCACCAAACCCCTCCCTTTTGAGCGGCATGGTGTGTGCATGTCCTTGATGGGGATGCAGCCCCATGTCAGCATGGTGCCTGAGCAGGATGTGGGAGGAGTGGTGCTTCTCTGCCTTGACGACCTCATGCTGTGGATGGCGCCCTTCCCTGGGCAAGGGGGAGTGAAGTGAAGGATTTTGCCCAGTGGTGTTCAGCCACCTCCAGCACGAGCAAGGGGGAGTGTTGATTGTGTAGGTGGTTGTGGTATTTTGCTCTAGCTGGTTGTGGGCTAAGGGTTTGGGTAAAATGTGGCGGTTAGACTTGTTGCGGGCTGGAATTGATCTCGCACCCAACAAGCACCAACTAACATTTGCTATTCACTGCAAAACCTTTCCAACACGAAAGGTCTTGGAAGGCGTGCTTTACGATTATTGAGATTAGAGATTAAGACCTTTCCAAGGCGTACCTGGTCATGGTTTTAGGTTACGTGAGCTGCACGCAATGGTTCGCCGAAGTCGGCGGACTTAATCTCTGGTTACGCTCTCCAGATTCGCGCGCTTTCCATCAACTTCCACGTGCCGCACGAAATTCACCATGATTTTTCTCACCACCCTCTTGTATTGAAAATTCTCTTGTCTTAAGACCGCCTCACACCTCTTAAGCTAGAGCTGATGAAAGGTGATGGCGACTAGCGGAAGCTCCAGGAGACATGACTTCATGCCTGCGTCACGGAACATGAGATTACCCACACTTTTCGCCTCCTCTTTTACCCCCAAAACTTTCAGCGCCGCCTGTAATCTCTTGACAATCCCTTCCACCTCCGAACACGTCATCAGGCAGTCATCCACTGTCTCTTGTACCCCATAGTGGGGACAGCGTGCCAAGCTGCCCAGAAAAGGGGAGTCTGGTGCCCACTTACAGGTTCCTACTGTGGAGCCGAAGAAGCACTTCCCTTGCTCTGGATGGGACCACCATCGAGTCCCGCTTTGCAATGGTTCTTGCCCAGTCATTTGTTCCCCCACACTCCTCCTCCCAAGTGACCTGCTGCTTTGACTTCACGACTGGCTCTCTGATTGCCCTCCTTAGGGTTTTCGGAGCCACCAGCTCACCTCCTTTGCAGAGCACGGACTCACGTAGCCTGGTAAGATGGTGACCGAGCGGGCCTAGAACTATCTCTTCTGCCGCTTTTATCAGCGTAACTTGTGACAAACTGATGGCAAAAGGGCTGGCATACGGGGCTGGTGATATGAGGCCTTGCGCCACCTCCACTCTCTTCTCCACCAACCTCTCTCCTTCCATACATAATATATTCCAGTAGTTTTGCTGCTTCGCCACGTCACCTCTATCGAGGAAAAAAGGCCTAGTCAAAGTTCCATTAGACGATTCTGCTCCCTCCATTCCGCCCTCCTCAAAAGCTCCTCCGCCTCTATCCGTCCCCCTCCCATCGCTCGCCGCCGATCTGCCAAAGTCGGCATCGACCTCAGCCGCCAGCGATGAGGGGAGCATTGGTGCGTTGCCTTCGGCTCCACCCATCAGCATCGCTGGCAGTCGACGTGGTCTGATTGGCGAGAAAGTTGGCGTTGGAGAGGAGTCTCCGCCGACAGGGGAGCCGTCGAACGGGGAGCGCATTTCAGAGTCTCCGCCGACATGGGAGCCGTCGAACGAGAAGCGTGTTTTAGAGGAGCCGTTGACAGGGGAGCCGTCGAACGAGGAGCTCGCTTTAGAGGAGTGGACGACAAGGGAGCAGTTCGACGACGGCACATCGAACAATGTTGTTGAATTCGTCGGCGGCGATGGAGGAGAGCTGTCGACCGAGGAGAAGTCCAGTGACAGCGACGTGGTGGAAGTCTCGGTCGACAAGCCAGCAGTTCGACGTTCCACCCGCTCCAATGGCAAGCCTCGCGAGAAGCTGAGCTACCATGCTTGCCTGCCGTTGACGATGCGCCGACGATGCGCCATCCGACGTCAACTTGCCCGAGCTCGACCTTGATATGCACGCCGACCCAGAGCACCGCTGGGACATCGCTAACATGATGGTGAAGGAGGCGTTAGCGAGCTGGAAAGGGAAGGCGGTGAAAGCGGCAATGGACGAGGAGATTCGAAGTCTAATCTCCAATGGCACATGGGAGCTTGTCGAGGGTCCGCACGGCATCAATGTCATGCAGAACTGTTGGGTTATGGCGACAAAGTACCACGTCAATGACACGGTTGCCCGTGAAAAAGCGCGCCTAGTGGTGAAAGGCTTCACGCAGGTTTACGGAGCCGATTACGACGAGATGTACGCACCAGTCGGAAGCTATGTCACGCTGTGGAATTTCCTCGGCATCATCGCCGTCCTCGACCTGCACCTCATGCAATTAGACATGAAGACTGCCTTCGTGCAAAGCAAGCTCAACCACGTGCTCTACATGGATCAGCCGGCTTACTACAACGATGGCACCAGCCGCGTATGCAAGCTGTTGAAGAGCTTGTACCGGCTGAAGCAGAGCCCTCTGTTGTGGTACTCGGCGCTCGGCGCTGTGCTGATTGGCGCCGGCTGGAGCAAAAGCCAAGTCGACGAGGCTCTCTATTTCAGAGTTGGCGACGACGGAGTAGCGTGCTGGGTCCTCGTATACGTCGATGATCTGCTCGCCGCCAGCAGCAGTAGCACTGGAATGCTGAAGGAGCTGAAGGAGCTACTAGAGGCCGCCTTTGAGCTGCGCGAGATCAGCCCGGTCGAGAAGTATTTGGGGCTCGAAATTGTGCGCGACAGACCTGCGCGAAAGCTGTGGCTGCACCAGCAGCCCTACGTCGACAAGCTGCGTAGGCGCTTCATTGACGAGGAGCGGACTGGTCGGCGTCCGAAGACGCCCATTTCCGTTGATGCCTACGCCGAGCTGACTTTCGATGATGAGGACTTCAAGTCGCGTGAAGAGGAGGAGTACCGTAAGAAGGTCGGTTCGCTGCAGTTTGCTGCCACCACGATTCGGCACGACATCGATTTTGCGTGCAGCAAGTTTGGGTCCGGCCTGACACCGAGGAGCGACCAGCATTGGCGCGAGGTCGATCGCTGCCACCTACCTCGCTGACACGCGCGATCTCGCTCTGGAGTTTGGCGGCGGATCCGAGGCTCTGAAACTGGTGGGCTATGCACACGCGGACGACGCTGGCGACAAGCAGACGCGCAGCAGCAGGAATGGCTACATTTTCACCTTCGGCGGCGCAGCTGTCTCCTGGACGAGCCAACGCATCTAGTGAGTGACTCTGTCTTCGACGGAGTCGGAGTGCATTGTGGCCACCGAAGCCGGCACAGAGGCTCGTCGAATTTGATTCCTCCTCGCCGAGTTCCAGCTCCTCAACGTTGGGACGCCAATTGCTCTGAACGTGGACAATCAGTCCGCCATCGCGGTCGCTAAGGGCTTGGGGCTGAAAGGCAACCTCAAGGACATGGAGCAACGTTACGCCTGGCTATAGCAGATGGTGGATCGCAAGAAGATTGCGATGGAATACATCCCAACTTCCGAGTAGCCGGCGGATTTCCTCACTAAGGTATTCCTAGTTGATGCACCATGTGTGACTGAGTCAGTGTGATGGTGCGAGCGGCTCTGTCCCTGGTGATCTGCAGGCCAAGGTAGCGCTGAAGTTCACTGAGGTCAGTGCACTTGTGTCTCTTCTGCAGTTCGGATTTCACCTCATCCAGAGCTGCCCTGTCTGCTGTAGCAAAGACCAAGTCATCAACGTACACTAGTATAAAAAAAGGAGTGGAACCAGTGCGAACAAACAGTGACGGGTCGGCAGAGGAAGGACGAAGCCCAAGGTTACGAAGCGTGGAGCGAAGAGTGTCGTGCCACTCACAGGGTGACTGGCGGAGACCGTAGACTGGCCGCCTCAGACTCCACTGGGTCCCCGGTGGGAAGGTGTCAGTGAAGCCAGGAGGACGGCGCAGCCAGATCTCCTCGTATAGGCGGCCTTGGAGAAACACAGTGGAGAAGTCAAGGGAGTGCAGCTCGTAGTCTCGCTATGCTGCTACGTGTAGTAACAGCCGAAGAGTAGTCATCTTCGGGGTCGGGGCAAAGGTCTGGAAGAAGTCAACTCCCTCACGCTGACTGAAACCCTTAGCCACGTAGCGCGCCTTGAACACAGGCGATGGACGAGGCAGCCGCTTCACCTTGAAGAGCCACATGCCATCGACAACGTTCGCCCTGGGAGGGGGAACTGCGTCGACGTAAGTGCCTGTGGATCTCCAAGACGCTAACTCAAGTCCATAGCCGCTTTCCACTGAGAGGCCCATTCCCCTGACACTGCCTCACGATACGTGCGAGGTGTCGGTATGTCAAGGGCATCGGGGTCTCCCTCAAGGGAAAGCAGTATGGCGCAGAGAGAGGGGGAAGCGGCTGCTAGGAAGTCCAGCTCAAACTGCCTGTCCTCTAGGACGTCACAACCAAGGGCAGACTCACCCCCAACGGACAGAGGGCGGAGAGGTGGAGAAGCCACCACACGCGTGGCATAGTCAAGATGGGGGGTGGAAGCAAAGTCAGCGACAGCGGCAGTAAGAGCCGAGGCAGGCGACGGAGAGGCACGAGGGTCGGTGACAAGTGAAGCGAGAGCACGAGAGACAACAGGGCGAGCAACACGGTAATAGTCAGTGATAGGGTGAGAGGCAACGGTGAGAGACGATGTAGGAGGTGAGGGGAGAACAGATATAGGCGGAGAACGAGGAGGAGGAGAACAAAACAAGACGGTGCGGAGGTCGGTAAGAGACGAGGGCCGATCACGTGGAGGACAACGACTGATCCAGTTGTGCCGAACAACAGGAGGAGGCAACGGTGACTGAGGAGGAGAGAAAACAGCCGGAGTCGAGTCTAGAGGAGGAAACGTAGGGCTCTACGTAGTACGAGACTGTGAGTGAACAGGAGGAGAAGAAGGAAGACCAAGGGTACGAAGGCCACTCACTGGAGGGAAAAGCTACTGCAAAGTGACGGCTGCTACTGCTGCTGCTGGTGGTCCAATTGCTGCAACTCCTGCCTCTCCTGCTCCAACTGCTCCTGCTCCTCGCGCTCAAGCCGGCAAAGGGCCTGGAAACGGGTGTCGTGGCGGTGGGGAGGCGCAGTGGGCGACGCAGTAGGCGAGCCTCCAGCTCCCGTTTCCTCAGTACCAGCTCTTATGGCGCCAGCACCCCCTGCTCCAGCACCCCCAGAACTAGCACCGCCAGTGCTAGCACCTCCCGCTCTAGCACCCCCAGAACTAGCACCACCAGTGCCATCACCTCCAGCTCCAGCACCCCCAGAACTAGCACCTCCAGCTCCAACACCCCCAAAACTAGCACCTCCAGTGTCAGAACCTCCAGCTCCAGCACCCTCAGAGCTAGCACCACCTGCCCCAGCACCTCCAGCTCCAGCACCTCTCGAACGAGCGCCCCCAGACCGAGGACCACCAGTGGCAGTACCTCAAGCTCCAACACCACCGGAGTCCACAGTAACCTGTCGCGGAAGTGCCGAAGGCTGCTGAAGGGACTGTGACGAGGACTGTGGGGAGGGAGACGCTACGTGACGCGCGACCGAGGGTAGAGGGGTAGCGTGAGACACACCTGACGGGGCAGGACCAGGGGGGGACGGGGGTACCGGAGGAGCGGGGGCAGGGGGAGGAGGGGGTGCGAGGAAGAGGGGGGGAGAGAGGACCGGGATACCTTGATAGGGGTACCGGGTGTAGTAGCACACGGACTCGTCAAACTGGACGTCACGAGAGTCAAGAAACTGGTGGAGGGGCGGGTGGTGAAAGGAGTAGTCGGGAGAACACACCGGGAAACCAAGGAAGACACAGGGGATGGCGCGAGCCGAGAGCTTGTCCGCAGAGGTGTCGCGGACAAGCGCAAGGCAGCCCCAGACACAAAAGGCCGACCCAACACCAGGGGACCCGGTCCAAAGACGGGTCGGTGAAACCTCTGGAGGTTCAGCTGGTGCGCGGCGTAGCGAAGCGCGTAGGGCCGCCGAAAATGGGGCACACAGGCATGAATCATGGACGTGCGGGCGATGTCCATGACCAAGCCAATGCGGCACTCAACAACCCCATTCCGCTGTGGGAACTCCGGCAGCATCCAGGACTGTCTTATGCCATGCTCGCCGCAGAACTCGGCAAGGACGCTAGAGCGAAACTCACCCCCACAGTCGGAGTGGAGACAACGGACATGACCACCACGAGTGCCCTCAGTGGCCAAAAGCCACCGGATCAGCGTAAAAGTCACCTTGGACCTCTTCGAGAGAGGAAACACCGTGGTGTACCTGGAGTAGTCGTCAACGACCACTAGAAAGTAGCGCTCCCTTTAGGTCCCATCATGGGGGTAGGGCCCCAGACGTCCAAGTGGAGAACCTGGAAGGGAGCAGTGGCCGAACGAAGGGAGGAGGAGTGCGGAGTGGCACGCAGGCGGCCGGCAACGCAAGGAGTGCAAGGTGGAGCAAGCGAGGGAGGGAGCGACGGAAAGACGCGCGGGAGACCTAAGACAAGACTGTGACTTGCAATGCTGCGGAGTCGGGGGACCGACTGGTGGCCAAGACGGTGGTGCCACAAGACGGTCGGGTGGGCGAGAGACCGACAGGATCAAGACGTAGCAGCCTGACCAAACGCAGCAACCTCACTAGACACAGCAACCGGAGGGGACGCAGTAACCTGACCGGACTCTGCTACCTGGGGGGACACAGTCACCTGACCGGGCTCTGCTACCTGGATAACGTAGTGTGCAGAACAAAGAGACATGAGTGGGGCTCCCTGGTGAACATGGCAAGAAGTGCCCTGGTGGAAGCGTCAGTACAGATCGTCGTTCACTCGTGCATAGGAAAAGTGACTGTGATCCCACGGTCTTGAAGGTATCCAACACCCACCAAAACCCGAGAGAACGAGGGGATGTAGAGACCAGTGAGGAAACCAAAAAGGACAGCCGGGGACAGGAGAACGGTCGACCTGCAAGCGAGTGCTGGTCCTGAACTGGGATCAGCCACGGCAACTGGGACTGGAGCCGAAAGAGGTGTGACAGTGATATGGTCGCGGAGCACTGCGACGCACCTGAGTCCAGCGTGAAGGAGAGCGACGCAACAGCAGTCGTCACGGCTGGACTAGTGACTACACAAGCACCTACACTAAAAGCACAAGTAACTACACTAGCAACAGGCAAAGAGCCTAAGCTGGGTACACGCAAGCCTAGAGACCCATACATGACAGAATAAACAGCATCCATAGACATATCAAACACACGGTAACCACTACGAGACAGACCGAGCAAGATCGGTGGCCTCGACTTAGACCCAAAACGCTCACGATAAAGGTCGTCGAGGCGATTGTAGCAGCAAGTGTGCAGAGTGGTCAAGACGCCAGCAAGTAGTGCCAGCACCAAGGCCAATCAGGATCCAGTACTGGCAAGGGCCGACGTCACGACCACCGCGAACCCCAAGCTGGCTGGGCCGCTGCTGGAGCCAACGCTACCCGAACCACCAGGCCCCCACGGCTGCTGAGGGCGCCACTGCTGCTGACGGCGCCACTGCAGCTGAGGGTGCCACTGCTGCCGAGGGCGCCATTGACGCTGAGGTTCCAACTGCTGAAACTGCCACAGCTCTTGTCCCTGCTGCAAGAGAACTCTAGTAGATGCCATGGTGAAACTAGGCGAGGAACGGCCAAAGCACAGAGCAAACTGAGCTAGAAGCGACTGGAGCAGGAACGGTTGGAGTGAGATACGGCCGGAGCTAGAAACAGCAGGCTAGAAATTACAGGCTGGAGCGAGGAGCGACTGGAGCGAGGAGCGAGAACAACTAGGAGCGCCAGGTGAAACTAGGCGAGGAGTAGCAGCTTTCGGCCATAGTCGAACGGTGAACCCAGTGAAGGAACGGTAGGGAACGAGAAAACCGATGGTGAGAAAACCCGAAAACGGCCTGCTACGGGCCGTGGCGCGCTAGAGGTGCCAGCCGCTGTGAGAGGTGCCAGTGGGCGGCTAGAAGGAGGTGTGGGCGGCTAGGAGGAGGTGTGGGCGGCTGGGAGGAGGTGTGGGCGGCTAGGAGGAGGTGTGGGCGGCTAGGAGGAGGTGTGGGCGGTTAGGACTGTTGGTGTAAGGGCCTAATAAACTCAAGCTATTAAGACTTTATCAAACTTAAAACCTCTCCTCGGGGTCACCTCCAAGGGTCCTTGGGTGCCTGGTACAAGACCAGCCCCTATCCTCGGGTCCGAGTTTGTAGAGAGAGGGATCAAGAGGGACTTAGTCAAAACAGCAAGAGTGCCTTGAACGTCGCGCAGCGTATCGTGCAGACCGTCAATCGGATTAAGCTGAGAATTTCCTATATCGAAGCTCACTCCAAGAGCTTTAAAATGAACCAAGCTGCTACGCGAAAAAATCCCAAATAATTCCAAGCAACAGAACCAACCTGGCTGGACAAAACAGCAGGTGGTAGGTTGGTAAACAACCTCTGGTTCTGTTTTTCCAACCTGGGAAAACAACAACCAGGTTCAGGTCCTAAAAACAGAACCTGTTTTGTCTGTGCCCAACCAGCCAAATGCTGGTTCCGTTGGTTTCCCCTGGCCCTGCAGCATGCAAATACAGACAAACAACATCCAACCTACACCTAAATTGTACCCCTATAGTGCCTGCCCTGCTACACTATAGTCAACCAAACAAAACAGTACAATTTTGAGTTAGATAGAACTGAATCTGCGCAATCAAGTAAGCCGAACCGCAAAGCTTCTATCTTGGGTTCCTTTGCGAGCTCATCCTTTCTGCTTGTACTGTTCATAGCGCGTACAATGTTATGCCAAAGCGAACAATGCGTGCGTACCTGCAAATGCTTCAAACGAAAATTGCGAAAGCAAACAAACACACGAACATTCCATTCAAACCCAAATGCATTCGCACACGCATACTCGTACAAACAGACGGCAGGATGTCGTGCAATGTGAATTTGCACCCAACACACTCCCCCTCAGCCTGCCGGCTGCATCCCCATCATTCCATACTAGTTCATGCTCATTCCACTCATGCGCACACAATGCCAATGAGGCTCATCTGCAAGCCTCTTGGTGAGAAAGTCTGCTGGCTGCTGGTGAGTCTTGATGTAGATCGGATTCACCGTCCCCCTCTTCACCTCCTTACGCAGCCAGTGCCACTTGATACGCATGTGCTTGTTCAGCCCATGAAGCACAGCATTCCTGGCCATCCCAAGAGCTCCCTTGCTATTACAAAACAGCGGCGTAGCAACCTTTTGCTCCTGGCCAATCTCCTCTAACAGCCTCCTCAGCCAAATCACCTCCTTCACCCTATGGAACATTGCCATGTGTTGGTGTAAGGGCCTAATAAACTCAAGCTATTAAGACTTTATCACACTTAAAACCTCTCCTCGGGGTCACCTCCAAGGGTCCTTGGGTGCCTGGTACAAGACCAGCCCCTATCCTCGGGTCCGAGTTTGTAGAGAGAGGGATCAAGAGGGACTTAGTCAAAACAGCAAGAGTACCTTGAACGTCGCGCAGCGTATCGTGCAGACCGTCGACCGGATTTAGCTGAGAATTTGCTATATCGAAGCTCACTCTAAGAGCTTTAAAATAAGCCAAGTTGCCTCGCGAAAAGTTCTGCCATTAGGAAGTTATGGCTCGGACAGCGTTAGCCTAGCGTTAGAGTGCTAGCATACTAGCGTTGACTCGGGTAGCATTCCGCCGTCGCATCGCGTAGAAACGAAATTCCAGCAAGGAAGGAATTCGCTTGAATCAATTTCACTATATTCAGGTACAAACAGAGAAGGAATAAATAGTTCTAGCTAGCAAGGACCTTGGGAATCAACCTGGGAACAACCAGGGATGATCCCAAATAATTCCAAGCAACAGAACCAACCTGGCTGGACAAAATAGCAGGTGATAGGTTGGTGAACAACCTCTGGTTCTGTTTTTCCAACCTGGGAAAACAACAACCAGGTTCAGGTCCTAAAAACAGAACCTGTTTTGTCTTTGCCCAACCAGCCAAATGCTGGTTCCGCTGGTTTCCCCTGGCCCTGTAGCATGCAGATACAGACAAACAACATCCAACCTTCACCTAAATTGTACCCCTATAGTGCCTGCCCTGCTACACTATAGTCAACCAAACAAAACAGTACAATTTCGAGTTGGATAGAACTGAATCTGCGCAATCAAGTAAGTTGAACCGCAAAGCTTCCATCTTGGGTTCCTTTGCGAGCTCGTCCTTTCTGCTTGTACTGTTCATAGCGCGTACAATGTTATGCCGAAGCGCACATTTTGCGAGTACCTGCAAATGCTTCAAGCGAAAATTGCGAAAGCAAACAAACACACAAACATACCATTCACACGCAAATGCATTCGCACACGCATACTCGTACAAACAGACGGCAGGATGTCGTGCAATGTGAATTTGCACCCAACACACTCCCCCTCAGCCTGCCGGCTGCATCCCCATCATTCCATACTAGTTCATGCTCATTCCACTCATGCGCACACAACGCCAATGAGACTCATCCGCAAGCCTCTTGGTGAGGAAGTCTGCTGGCTGCTGGTGAGTCTTGATGTAGATCGGATTCACCGTCCCCCTCTTCACCTCCTTACGCAGCCAGTGCCACTTGATACGCATGTGCTTATTCAGCCCATGAAGCACAGCGTTCCTGGCCATCCCAAGAGCTCCCTTGCTATCACAAAACAGCGGCGTAGCAACCTTTTGCTCCTGGCCAATCTCCTCCAACAGCCTCCTCAGCCAAATCACCTCCTTCACCCCATGGAACATCGCCATGTACTCTGATTCCACGGAAGAGAGTGCTGTCTCCGTCTGCTTCTTTGACCTCCAACTAACCGGTCCTCCCCCAACTACGCAGATGTATCCTCCCACAGATGAGGAATCCTCCTTCTCAGAGGCCCACGTAGCATCAGTAAAGCAAGTGAGAAAAAGCTTGCCTTCTCCAAGCCTCTCCCCCTTCTCTTTCAGCACCTCAACCCCTTTCTGCTTCACCTGTGCAGATGCGGAGTATTGAACTCCAATGCTTGGGTGAGAGTTCAGATACTTCACCACACGCTCAGCTGCATCCACCTGCTCCTCTGATGGATTCTGCACTACCCTAGCCAGCTGCCCAACCGAGAAAGAGATGTCGGGTCTCGTGTGAACTGCTGCATACAAGAGGCTGCCCACCAAGGACTGAAATTGCTGCTGCTCCTCGGCTTCAACCCCTTCATCCTCTGCAGCTTTCACAAGCTTGAATTCTGCTGGCAGGGGAGTTGCAACCTTGCGCTCATTCTCAATTCCGTACTTCTCCCCAAGCTCCTTGATGAACTTCTCCTGGTGCAGCTTCAACCACCTGTGATCCAGATCCCTCTCCACGTGCATCCCGAGGTAGTACTTTACCTCCCCAAGGTTCTTGCACTTGAAGTTCTCCATCAGCTGCTGCTGCACCTTCTGGATCTCCTTCATGCTGCTGCTAAAGAGAAGAATGTCGTCCACATAGACCAGAAACAGCACCAGCTTCTCCCCCTCCCCCTTGAGAAAGAGGCTCTCATCACAGCTGCTGGTCCTGAATCCCATCTCCTCTAAAACAGCTGCCAACTTCTGGTACCAGCAGCGTGGCGCCTGCTTCAAGCCGTAGATGGACTTTTTCAGCTTGCACACCCTGCCCGTACCATCCTCATACCCAGGTGGCTGCGTCATGAACACCTCCTCCTCTAAAATCCCGTTGAGAAATGCCGTTGATATGTCCATCTGGATAATGAACTTCCCACTAACGGCTGCATCTGCCAACAAGACACGAAGGGTAGGGGGTTTGGCAGTGGGAGCAAAGATCTCATTGAAGTCCCGCTTCTCCTTCTGCATAAACCCCTTAGCCACCAACCTACTCTTGTAGATGGTGACCTGCCCCTTGTCGTCAGTCTTGATCCTTAGCACCCACTTGCATTGTACCGCTTTCTTTCCCTCAGGCAGCACCACTAGTTCCCAAGTCCCATTCTCCAGCAGGCTCTGGTACTCAGCATCCCTGGAAGCTAGCCATTTGTCCCTATCTGGTCCAGCTAATGCCTCCTCCATGCTAGCTGGTTCCTCTGGTGCAGGGGCAAGAAAACAGTACGCAGGCTCATCCTCCTCATCCGGGTCATAGCCATGTGGTAGAATCAGCAATGCCTCCTCGGTCCCAAGCTGCTGCTCCGCTACATCAGCTCCTGCAGTCAGCTTCTTAGTAGCCATACGGGTACGTCCTGGCCTGGAGACGGGTGTCTCCCATCCCTTCATAATAACACCCTTCGGCTTCTTAGTTTTCCCCTGCTGCTGCTCTCCTCCCTCGGATCCAGCAGCTCCACTAGTGCTACCGCTAATCTCCACACCATCACCTCCACCAGCAGGTGCCTCCTGCACCTTCTCTTTATCACCACCCTCTGCAGCTGCCTCCTCTCCCTCCTCCCACACACTAGGAGTCAGGTCCAGCTGCATGGTAATCTGCTCCATCTGCTGGGACACCCTGGCCTCCGGCTGTTTCTCCCAGCTCCCATACATCATGCCCTCAACAAACTTCACATCCCTGCTGTCAAACAACACACCCTTGGAAGGCTCCCACAGCAG